TACTGATTTCTGAAGATCATGTGACACTGAAGACTGGAGGAATGATGCTGAAAATACAGCTGCGCATCACAGAAATACATTACAGTTTAACAGATATTCACATAGAAAATTGTAATTAAAACTGTAATAATATTTCACAATTTTACTGTATATTTGACCAAATAAATGCAGCCATGGTGAGCATTTCTTTCAAAAACATTAACAAAATCATTCCCAAACCCAAAGTTTGGAATGGTAATTTAGACTACATTAAATTAAATGCCAATATATCATTCCAGAATAAACACTAGGGTTTTATCATAAAAACCCAAGACGCATCCTCCACGTGCCAAACAATCACTGAACAGGGTCACACAAACATTCGGTGAGCGTGCACTGCTGTTAATTAAGATCACGATGGCTGAGTGTGTAGGAGGCATTTAATTATGCAGCCCGCTTCAGTTTTATTGTAATATCTCTTGAGTGACACTGACAGTGTTTATTGGCCAAGTCCTTTATCCCAGCAGACTATTGATCGGGATTAACAAAGGGTTTGTGTGCGCGTCTGAATACTCAAGGCCTGACCTCATGTTAACCAGAGCTTTTAGGCTACAATCACAACACACACAAACACATAAATTAAGGTCCTCAGATCTGGTGAAGGCAGAAAACACTTTCATTGCACGCTGGGTTGGAACAATTGATTTTACATAATGGAACGGACCTCGAGTTAAACAGGCGTCTGGACACACGGTTCAAGGATTCAGGTCTGTATTAGTGTGTATGAGGCCTCAGTTCTAATCTAATGAACAGGTCTGATAGTTGAACACATATCAGATTCAAAAGCCTTAATTGCTTAGAGTTAGTTCGCATTTGCATGCATGCACCTGGGTCACTCGCTGTCAAATCAACCAAATTTATGTAACTTCCCTGGATACATTTTTTATTTCTTTTGAAGAAAGACAAACATAAATAGTGATGAAAGCCAAAATATCAAATGTCATGGATGAATATTTAGTGAGTAATGCACTATGTTGTAGCTGGGGGTCAAAATTTTCCATCTGAGATTCGGAGCCAAATTACAGGAGGGTAAAATGACTTCAGAAAGATGGCAGCATCATTATGTTATTTTCACACAGAGATTGGTAGCTCTATTAGTAATATCTGTTGGCTTTAGCAATCTTTGTTGCATTATACGCCAATGGTGACAGCTCAAAAACGGGAAAAAGCACTTTTTGTGTTTTTTCCCCAAAGTTTGCATGCCTGTAACTCAAGAAGCATTAAAGGTCCCATATTGTCAAAACTGAAATTTCCTGGCTTTTTTCACGATAACTGAGGTCTAAGGGCTATTTAACTACCATATAAGTTTCAAAACAGTCAGTCCACAGTAAAATGCACACAGCCTGCATAAAATAGCTGTGATTTTTCACAAACCGTTGTGACTTCCGTAAAAAGTTGACGTCAGAACTACACAATCACTGCCTTCAGTCACCACCCCGAGCACCGCCCACCGTCCCACTCTCCTTTAGCCACACCCCCAGACAACATCACGTCCATGCCATTGCTGAGCAACAACAACAACAACAACACGGAAACATGCCGAAAAGGTTAACTTTAACCACGAAACCAGATCGGCCGAGCTGTAACGTTACGTTCTCACTCAAAGGATGGACGATCTGACAGGATTGTTAGACAGGATTGTTACTATGAGGTGATCACATCTAGCGTGTAACGTGTAGTAAAGACAAACTCACCGTGTCTATCTAGTCATGATGAAGATGTTTATACATTACAATTTCAGCAGGCAACTATTTTTGCAGCTACATTATTGTTCCAGCCACAATTAATCACAACAATATATATACAATTACAAACGATTATATATAAATCGTCAGTTTGTTGTTTTACACACATGCACACAGACATAATTTCATACAGGACATAGTCGTGAGATGCAAGAAACATAGACATATGGCAAGAAATCTGTAGACACGCCCATAACAACAAAAGACAATACTTTATTGAACCTTTTCTGATAAGAAGTGTGCGCTGCGAACGCGAGCGTTTTTGACGATCGTTTCTGTCCAGTTCGCTCGTTTTATCACGTTAGAGGAGCTGTAAAAATATACTGAGATGGGTTTTTGGTACTTATACCGTGCAAATATATATTCTTAAGGACATCAAAACCTAAAATAAAACTCCAGAAAGGTGTAAAATATGTGACCTTTAAATATATATTAATATCCTTTTACATGTTGGTTCTTAAACTTTTCTTTCGGTATCTTCATTTTTAAGGCACTACATAGTGAGTCAAATGTGAGTCACTTTGCATTTAAATACTTACTCTATTTAAAGAGGAATGTCTGAAGAACAACAACGTTGTCTTGTTTGCCTCTATCAAAGCAACTGCATTGAACATACCTGTCTGAGTGCCAAAAATATTCTTTTTCCAAAGTCTGCATGCCTATAACTCTACAAGCACTGAAAGTCAACTAATTTTACTAATGGACATACCATTTTCTCAAGTAATTTTGTAATTTGGCTCCAAATCTCTGGCGAAAACAGTCATTTTGACCCCGTTTTACAAAATAGTGGATTACTCAGTAAATGTTCATCCATGGCATTTAATATTTTGGCTTTCTTCTTCATTTATGTATTTCTTTCAACAGAAAGAAAATCTAAACTTTTAAACCGTTAAGTTGGCATGCAATGTCCAAGCTAGATAAATTCATTACCTTAAACTTTATTATTAATTCACAGCAGCAAAAACTGCTGCATCAACTTCGGCCTTGCATTTCTCGCCAAACGCTCTCCAACAACAACAACAAAAAAATATGCATGGATGAACACTTCATCCTGAAATACTATATCATCCATCTTTTGAAATACTATTTTTTAGCATGCAATGATCTGCGATGCACCAATTCTAATCATGCATCCTATTCACTAATGCAGCGTCTGAAGCGCTCGCTAATGACACTGGCATGAAAACAGCACGCACTGACAGCTGCTCTGAACACCAACCGCTCGGTGCAGCAAAACAAACAGCAGATCTGAGCCGTCAGGACATGCGGAGGTGCTGAACACATGAGTAAGGGGTCATGGGTCATCCGCTGAGTCTTTCACTGCACTGAAATAGTTTAGAAATCAAGGTCTTTTGAAAGCCTCCGGTCCACACATGCAAAATTCCCTTTATGTCTTGTGCATCATCACAGCGCTGTGCAACACTCAAATATTCAGCATGATGAACTCGCATACACTGCAGATGCTTTTATCCAAAGCAACTTGCATTGCATTTAAGATATGCATTTGATCAGTTCATGCATTGGAAATCGGACCCATTACATCCAACATAATCGCTAAAACAAAAAGCAACATGGCCAATCTCAGATATAACGCAAATTGACTGATAAAAAGCAGCTGCTCCAGTGCATGTTGTGCCTAATAATAACACACTTCAGCTATCGTATTGTTTCATTAACATCACGAGTCGGTCTCTGTGCTCTCGACATGCTCCAGCAGGTTATAGTGACCTAAAGTCTGCAGAGAGGTCTGTTCATCTGCAGAAATGTGAGGCATGGGAGAGATCTGGTGTAGCAACGGCTAGAAAATCCAGTCTCACAACCAGTTCTCAGACTGTCTTTACATTCATCCGCACTAAACAACCTGCAACAGCAGTCAGAAATGACAACGACACGGCCTTATCTGTTCATATATCAGGTGTATGCATATATTAATATGCAAGAGAGGCACTGCATGACAGAAAGCTCACGGAAAACACTTAAACGCTCAAAACAAACACCACACTGAAACTCATAAAGAGAGAGTTTTGCTCTACGGTAAATGACAGCATTGAAGTCAACATGCTGCAAAAGTCAGTAAAAACCAAGGTTAATTTCAGACGTGAACTATATTCTGAGGTAAATAACAGCTGTGAGGTAAAATACAGGCAAATATGTGACTTAAATCACAGATGTCAGTTATTTTCTAAGCTAAATGTGAGGTAAAATAAAGGTAAATGTGTGACTTAACCACAGATCTATATCATTGCTATTACAGGTCTGTGGATTTAACTCACATGTGCCTCATATTTACCTACATTTACATCAGAAATAAACTGAGATATGTGATTTAACTCACTTTTGCCTTATATCTCAGTATTTTCTGAGGTAAATGTGAGGTAAAATTGAGGTAAATATGAGACAAATGTGAGTGAAGTCGCAGATGTCAGCTGTTTTCTGAGGTAAACGTGAGGTAAAATTGAGGTAAATATGAGACAAATGTGAGTGAAGTCGCAGATGTCAGCTGTTTTCTGAGGTAAATGTGAGGTAAAACTGAGGTAAATATGAGATAAATATAAGGCAAATCACAGATGTCAGTTGTTTTCTGAGGTAAACGTGAGGTAAAATTGAGGTAAATATGTGACTTAACCACAGATCTATATCATTTCTATTATAGGTTTTGGATTTAACTCACATTTGCCTTATATCTCAGTTATTTTCTGAGGTAAACGTGAGGTAAAAAGAGGTTAAATGTGAGTGAAATTTACAGTTGCTTCTTTCTGAGGTAAAATTGAGGTAAATATGAGACAAATGTGAGTGAAGTCGCAGATGTCAGTTACTTTCTGAGGTAAACGTGAGGTAAATATGTGACTTCACCACAGATCTATATCATTTATATTATAGGTCTGTGGATTTAACTCACATTTGTCTTATATCTCAGTTATTTTCTGAGGTAAACGTGAGGTAAAAAGGTAAAAAGGAGGTTAAATGTGAGTGAAGTCGCAGATGTCAGTTGTTTTCTGAGGTAAATGACAGAACTGAGGTCAAATTAAGGTAAACATGAGGCAAATGTGAGTCACAGATGTCAGCGAGGTGAATGACAGCAGTGGGTTAAATCTCAGACGGGCGTTAGATTCTGAGGTAAACTACAGCAATGAGGTAAAGTCGAGGTAAATCTCAGGTGAGCATGGTATTCTGGGGTAAACGTCAGCAGACAGGTAAGGATGAGGTAAATCTCACCTTGGCTTTGCCGGCCTGTAGCTTCTTCTGTCGCTCCTCGTCTTCCATCCTCTCCGCGGCTCCTGCGGCTTAAACACGGACAGACGCGCGTCAGAAAAGCGCCACACGCACGCACACACGCCTAGCGCTCAACGCGGAGCGCTGACGCGAGCGTCGGACGGTAAATCTGTGGGATATCCCCAGTGTTTTATTCGGGCTCTGCTGTCACCCTCGCCGCCATGTTTCTCCACGCACGGGACCCGCGGCGCGGTGACGTCACGGCGCACGCGTCTGCCTTAAAGCCCGATACTGCAAATATCGCTTGCGCAAACAATCTCAGTTACTCTTATATTATGTGCAAATATAAATGATTGATAATTGCATTTATTAGTTACATCAACCGTTTTGTATGCTCGCGTCGTCCTGTATTTATGAGCCATATTATATTCAATTCAATTTTGCATAAATCGGCCCGAAATGTATTGTTGTGATTTCAGATTTTATGCTCAAAAGTGGTCCGTTATAAAAACGTTTTTTCATATGTTCCAATTTATCATTGTGCAAACATTATGTGAACGTTAGAACAAAAAATGTCCATGAACTATATATAAATAATGTTTTTATGCTAACACTTTGAGAACGTTATTAAAGCAGCACTATGTAACTTTTGTCGCTCTAGCGGTTAATAAAGGGAACTGCACGCATCCCGCGGAAGAACATTCTAACCGGATCTACTTCTCTAAGTGTATGTCTATGGCGATTCACGCAGGTGTGTGTTACTCCGCAGCGGTGACCAGGCTACAATAGTCCCAATATAAGCACTTATTATAAGTGTACCGGAGTGATTCGGAATAAGACAAAAACGTGATTTGGAAGATTAATTCATTATGTAAATTTTGAACACAGAAAAAGGTACATAGTGCTGCTTTAAAGACAAAGCAGCTAACATAAATATGTGTAGGGTTGCAAAGGGGTGGAAACTTTCCAAAAATCCCTGGAACATTCCAAAAAAATCCTGGAAAGTTTCCTAAATTTACTGGAAATTTTCCACCTTTTTGCAACCCTAGTTCTAAGAATGTTTTGCTAACGTTCTCGTTATGAAAATCTTCAAAATGTCCAGTTTTTTTAATACTGTAAAAATGTTCTATGGTTGCCTGAATGGTAAGGGTGCATTACATTTGATCATTTAACAAACATCACTTTTGAATGTTCCCTAAAGATTCAGACAAACTCAAATATTTCAGAAAAACCATTGCATGCATGATGTATAGCTAAATAAGTTTTTTTTAGCTAACATTTGAGAACATTATTAAAGATCATTTAACTTTGAAAGAACATTCTATTAACGTTACTGGAAGAGCATTTGAGAGAACCTTGCCAAAGTGTTCTGAGAACGTTCTGACCTGCATCAGCCTCATCTGAAATGTGAATTCCTGTGAAATATTGGCCGTACCTGCAGCAGCAGCAGGAGATGGAGGTCTATTCCTGCGGCCGACCGGAGCTGAACAGCTGATGGTTTGGCAGATCTTGAATTCCACCCATCTTCTCTTGGACATCCTTCACTCTCTGCTGCCAAAATGAGCTTCAGGTTCCACCTGTGAACTCGTTCGCTTCTGATGCTCAGAGACCCAGGAGCCCTGAACGTTTGGCCCGTGAATTATTCATGTGAGAGCAGCACAGGATCAGGTTCAGAAACTCAAACACCTGCTGAGAAGCCAAACTAACTCGCTGCAGCTCATGTACTCGACAGAAGAGTATTACCTAAAGTGTACATATTACCTAAAGTGTACATATTACCTAAAGTGTACATATTAGTACCTAAGTGTACATATTACCTAAAGTGTACATATTAGTACCTACATGTACATATTAGTACCTAAAGTGTATATTAGTACCTAAGTGTATATTAGTACCTAAATGTTTTTTTCTTATCAGATTTGTATATTAGGGTTGTGTGTTACACCTAATGTTGTTAAATGAATGTTTATTGCATTATTTCAGTTTCATGTGTGTTACCGTGATGGTGTTTGGTGTTTGTGTGAATGACACACTGTGCACCTTCTATAGACAGTATGTTATTATTTAAAAGCTGCTTGTGATGGGCTTTGGTTCATCATGTGACTTTCTCATCACCTCCTGCATTTGGTGGTTATCAGTGTATTACAAAGCTACAAAACAGATTTTAGTACTTCAGTAGGTTTGGTATATTAACGTTATATCAGTTCATGAAATTACGGTATTTAACTGTAAATTTAAGTTAAAGCCATAAAACCTAAACATTGCTACCGTATTTTTTACGGTAAAATTCCAGCAATCACAGCTGCCGTTTTATTACCGTAAATTTTACAGATTTTTTTTGTACAGTGTATGAACAAGCAGAAGGGCTGGTTGTATTAAAATCACTCGATCTGAGATCATGAGGCACAAATGAAACCGCGGCTATCAGTTTTGAGCCAGTGTGAACTATGAAGCTTGTTTCTGCCACAGGATTAAAAAAATGACATTTTATCTCACAATTCAGTTGTTTTTCCTCACAATTCTGGGAAAAAAATCTGAATTATGAGATATAAACTTCCTGTTTTATTTTTTATTCCGGGCCAGAAACAAAATAAAACAGAATTGCGAGACTTAATTTCAAGATATAGACTCAGAATTCAAAACCAAATACACAAAATAATGATCTTTAAAAAAGCATCATATGACCCCTTTAAAGGCAGTGTGCTTTCATGCGTCCTCCCGAGCGGCAGGCGGCGCTGTGACTCAGTGCGCACACAGACGAGCGGCGGCAGGAGACACACGTGTTTAGATCGGTAGGTCATTATAAATCTGCTGTTTAGGTCTCTTTAACAGAAGACACGCTGACAGTGAACAGTGTTCACGAGTTACGGTGAACATTAAAAGCCCGTGTGATCGTAGATCGCTTTGTAAACAGGTTTAGATGCAGCAAGTGTATTATTGTGGTTGATATGAGAATGCACTGTCAGTTGTGTGTTTAATGCACAGATGACACATTAATGCTCTAATAATCTATATAAAGGTTTGATACACGTGTGTAATTATCAAGATAAGCCTGGCTATGTGTGAGTGAATGCCACTGAAACACGTCTGGGTCATATTTCAGCTCTAAATCAAGTAATAAAGTATTTTGCATTAAGAAAATAAGGATCATTTACTAGTCCAGTCTCGTTTGTTTATATAGCACTTAATACAGATTGTGTCAAAGCAGCCTTGATCATAAATAATGCAGATTATAGATTATACAGCTGCAAAATAAATCACTTTTCAATTTGACAAATCAATAGAAATGTACATTATTTAATATCTGCACGTGCGAGCTTGTTTTTCATTTAGTTTAACTTTTTAACACATTTATTTTAGTTTCGTTTAATTCTTTTATTGTATTTTTTATTTTCAACTTTTCTATGAAACGTATAATATTTTTCTGTAAATATTTTTCATTTTTTCTATAAATAAATGTGCCTTGCCAAATGAAATAGTAATAATAAATAAAAACAAAACAAATAAAAATGAGCAAAAAACAACAACATTACTTAAACTAAAATTAAAAACATAAAAATGTAATTCAAAATATTAATAGCATATCAATTATACTAAAATGAATCATGTCACATGGTTATAAAAAATAGTTTTAAAAACCTAAAACTATAAAAAAAATATGTTTTTGTAACTCTAACTAAAATATTAAAAATCTTATTTTATTTCAGCAATATTTCTCGTTTTCATTTAGTTTAACTTCATGTACTAAAATAACGAACTAAAACTGAAATAAAATGTATTAATATTTTTTTTTAATGTTATATGTAAAAATGTTAACGTCTTGAGACCCGGCAAAACATTTTAGGAAGAAATTCATATATTTTTTAATGTCATTACATTGTTTAGAGCATTAAAAATGATGTAAAAAATTATATTTCATTCATAAGTTATGCTACGTCCGCGGTAGAGGACATCGGGACTCAATTAAAAAAAATAAAAAATAAAAAGACATGAATAAACATGCATAGGCAAAAACAACTGGTTTTTAAAAAATCACCAATACATCTTTATTTTCAGGATTTTTTTTTTTTTACCAAACTTTGTATAAAGATAATTCTCAACTGTTATAACAGAATGATTTGATATACCATTAAATGTGTGTTAAACAGCCGTAAACAGGTTTTCTCATTATATATAATGTATCTATAAACTAAATCTAATTTGCATATTAATGTGATTTTGGGGCAACGTGTGATGAAAAAATAAGTGTAATAATGGGAGTAATAATTGACAAGATTTTCATAATATATAATATTTCATAGGAATATTGATTCATTTGTTGTGTCGTGCCAAAATGCGTAATAAACATGCTTTTAGTCCCGGTGTCCTCATATTTCTTAACAAAAAGTCATATTTATATTATATTTTATCCTGAGATGTTGATTTATGACACAAGGTTTAAAAATTCGATTTAAATGATAATTACAAAATATGATCATATTTCCATAAGAGTGTCGCTAAATCAATATCAGAGATGTTTGAAGAGCAAGGAGAGGTCACGGTGAAACTCTGAAAAGCCCTGAGTGTGCTCTGCACAGGACATCCAGACTAAAAACTGTGTCTCAGAGAAATACTCTGAAATAGAATGTCCTCATATGAGGTTAAAATTAAAATATAACTATAATAGCATCTCAATAACAGAATCAGAATTCATTTGAAACCCTTGTGGATCCTGTGCGGATAAACAAACGAGGCGCCAGACATCATGGGTTCTTCAACCGTAAACTATCTTCTCAGGTGTGCCGAGTGATGTTCCAGAGGCAGATCCTGCACTTCCTGCGGCCCGTCTGCAGATGTGCTTCACTTCCTGTCACGTCACGCCCCTGCAGCTCCAAACCGTCCAATCACGACCCTCCTCTGGAGAACGAGTCTCTCCTGGAGAACCTCTCTGTTATGGGCGTGGACCTCCCCTCGGCCCGCAAGCGGCAGCCGGGTGTCTTGAGGAAACTCCTGACTAACGAACAAGGCCTGGCGCTCTTCCTGAAGAGCAAAGGCGCGGATCAAGAGACGATCGCCAGCATCATCTCGCGCTTCCCGCGCTCCATCACCCGCTCCTGCGAGCACCTGGAGGAGCGCTGGAGGCTCTGGAGGAACGTCTTCAAGAGCGACGCCGAGGTGGTGGGGATCCTCTCGCGCTCGCCCGAGTCCTTCTTCCGCTCCAGCGACAACAAGAACCTGGAGGAGAACATCGCCTTCCTGATGACGCTGGGAATCACCGGCAAAGACCTGCACCGGCTGCTGACCACCGCGCCACGGACCTTCTCCAACAGCGTGGCGCTCAACAGGAACATGGTGGAGCTCCTGAAGAGCGTCTGCTTGAGTTTCGACGGGAAAGATCCGGAGCGCTTCGCCCGAACCGTCATCTCCAGGAACCTGTACGTCTTCATCCGCAGCACTAACCGGATCAGAGCCAACGTGGAGTTCCTCTCCAGCTCTCTGAGGCTGAGTAACGCCGAAGCGCTGGGTTTATTCCAATCCCACGGCGCGCAGATCCTCGACGTCTCGCACGAGAGCCTGAAGAAGAACTTCCAGAGCCTGCGGACGAAGCTGGGCTCGCTGGGCTGCGGCGCGGAGGACTTCAAGAGGATGATCCTGAACTATTCGCTGGTGCTGTTCGTCTCGTCCGAGCGTCTGAACGAGAAGCTGGACTGTCTGATGGACGGCGGGATCCTCGCGCAGCAGGTCGTGCACAAGCCCAAAGTCCTGGACTTCAGCATCGGCTGCATCCGGCAGCGGCTGCAGGACCTCCACGGACTGGGCTACGACTTCCAGAAGAGCGGCATCGCTGTGTTAGACACCAGCAAGAAACGCTTCCACGCTAAACTCGAGAGACTGAGCTCGGCGGAGAACGAAGACTTCAACACCAACAGAAGTGTCTGATCTCACTTTCACCTTAAACTCAGATTTATGTTCTTTACATGTTTATTCCGAGACAAATACAATGAATGAGCTGAATGAGGAAAAATGCACTATGTATATTGTTTGTTTGAGAACATTAAAACGATTATATTTTGTAGCTTGTTCTTGTTACTGTTTAACCATTGATATTCATCAATAATGATTTTATTTTTCATTACAAAGTTAAAAATGTGAGCCTGGAGCACAAAAGCAGTGTTAAGGCGCTGGGGGATATTTGTAGCAATAGCCAACAATACATTGTATGGGTCACAATTATACATTTCTCTTTTATGACAAAAATCATTAGGATATTAAGAAAAGCTCCTGTTCCATGAAGATAGTTTGTGAATGTCCTTCCGTAAATATATCAAAACTTAATGTTTGATTAGTAATATGCATTGCTAAGAACTTCATTTGGACAACTTTAAAGATGATTTTCTCAATATTTAGATTTTTTTGCACCCTCAGATTCCAGATTTTCAAATATTGTCCGATCCTAACAAACCATACATCAATGGAGAGATGATTTATTCAGCTTTCAGCTGATGCATAAATCTCAATTTCAAAAAATTGACCCTTGTGTCTGGTTTTGTGCTCCAGGGTCACATTTTAGAATTAGATCGATTGCAAAGGATGCTGATGGACCTGAGAAGGAAGAAAGTTTTAAATAGGCGAGCAGCGTTCATCTCAGAATCATACAAGGCTAAATGACCAAAAATCTATTATTTGCAGAGGCGGACAAAGTACTCAACTCCATTACTTGAGTGAAAGTACAGATACTGCTGGTCAAATATTACTCCATTACAAGTAAAGACAGATTTTTACTTAAGTAAAAGTACAGAAGTACTTGCTTTTAAAAGCACATTTCCTTTTTTATGTCAATGCACTGTTTTATTGTTGTACGTAATACTTGCAATACTTCTGAAGCAACTTACAATACATTACACCTGCTGAATACACTGACTAGCTTGTAGTATCTTTGGAATAAAGAGCTTTTAGAATATTAAAAACCTATGGGGGAAAACGAAACATAAATAAATAAATAAAAAGCAGGATGGCAGTGATCTCACAGCTCTGGACACATCTATGTGCAGCCATTCCTCCACATCTGAACAGAGTGGACAGTGAAATCCTGTAAATACAGAGTGATGAGGAAGAAAGAAAAATCAAGCCTGCTTTAAATCCCAGCAACACAACTGTAGATGTATCACTTACACAATTTAGCAAAGTCGGACAATATTGTGTCTAATATATACCACAATATTAATTTCTTATTATTGAATTGTTGTAAATATCACATTTGGAACTAGTCAGTGTTCAACAAATGCTGGGAAATCTCTTCATGTAGCCCTAAGAGTGATCACTGATAAACTGTCTGAAAAAAAAGAAAGTAATGTTTTAGAGAAGAAAAATAACCACCCACTGACTTTCAAAGCTGCTACAGAGTAACGACTTTCTACTTCGAGGAGCTTGATAGAAATGTAGTGGAGTGAAAAGTACAATATTTGTCTTTCAAATGTAGTGAAGTTAAAGTCATAAGTTCCCAGAAAAAATAATACTCAAGTAAAGTACCGATACTCAAGTAAATGTACTTAGTTACGGTCCGCCTCTGGTTATGTGTGACCCTGGAGCTCAAAAGCAGTCATGAGGGTCAATTTTTAAAAATTGAGATGTATGCATCAGCTGAAAGCTGAATAAATAAGCTCTCCATTGATGTATGGTTTGTTAGGATAGGACAATATTTGAAAATCTGGAATCTGAGGGTGCAAAAAAATCTAAATATTGAGAAAATCATCTTTAAAGTTGTTCAAATGAAGTTCTTAGCAATGCATATTACTAATCAAACATTAAGTTTTGATATATTTACGGTAGGACATTTACTAAATATCTTCATGGAACATGATCTTAATATCCTAATGATTTTTGGCATAAAAGAGAAATGTATAATTGTGACCCATACAATGTATTGTTGGCTATTGCTACAAATATCCCCCAGCGACTCAACACTGCTTTTGTGCTGCAGGGACACAATTCAAAACAACAGCAAACACAGTCTTTAACCGAGATAACTTTATCCTGTTAACATGATTTATCAGTTTTATCATAGTAAGAATGCAAAATGTTTCAACACAAGCATTTCAGTCAAATGTAATTTATGCAATAATGCATTACAGAACCCCCCCCAAGTAGCCTACCGTCACCAAGTGCTTGTTTATCAAACTTCATATATCGTCTTAAGACAAGTTAAGTTAGAAGTTAAGAGTTGACAGTTATTATATTTCTTCAGGCAGAAAAAAAGAAAAGAAAGAAACGATGCAAACTATTCATAAAAGCACAGGCTGGACTGCGCGCGCCTCTAGCGCCATCTAGTGGTCGCTGATAGGGACGAAACTCTCAAAATCCAAATGAATCAAATAGAATCGACTCAGAAGAGATGATAATAAATGCACATCTTCCTTGTTGCACATGTCTCTGTTTGTATCTGCACATTCATGCTAACTATAACTACGCTGACAGACATTTGGTAGCGGATAGTAAGATGCATTTGCAACATTTATCAAGTTCATAGATATTTGTGCATGCATTCGTTAGTAAAACTAACGAGTCTAATTTCTCATGGTGTGACCTATTTCAGATGCAGTGGTTGTTATATATATATACATATATTTAATTGTTTGATCGAAATTATTGCTCGGGACACTACTTTTAGAAAGTGATGGGAGCTTTACCGCTTCGAAACTTTAGTTTCTCTGATAACGTCTAGTTAGTTCATTTTTGATTCGATACACACACACGCTGCAGTTCCGTCACGGGTCGTGTTGAAGCGGAACTGCTCTGCTTGTGCTCGTGTTTCCGGTCGGACGCATTAGAGCGTCGCGCAGCCGCGGGTCACACGTGCGGGCAGAAGCTTCGCTGGCAGGTGAGAGATGATCGATAAACATGATCAGATATGAGTCTGGCAGAGACACCAATGGAAAGACTTAAATTGACTTTGGCATATTAAAAGGACACATTGAAACAATCCAGCTGAGAAGATATTGCTGGAGTGTTGGGAACATAACTCAGATAATGCATGTTTTGGATGGACTGTGGAAAAGAGGCTGAGGATATTGCATTGAGAAGAACAGATGGAAATTCCCATAATGCCTCCGTGTTATTTCCAGTGCCTGGAGCAGACCTTCAGATCTGGGAAGAAATTAATCATAATAAGGGTTATGTTTCCAAGAATGAGACGGCACAAATATACATGGATCAAAATTATAGTCAGGGAATTAAAATATTTACAGATGGATCCAAAGATGCTGTTTCAGGACATGCAGCCGTTTCTGTATGCGTTCCTCGTTTTAAGATTAAAATTGCAAAAAGGAGAAGTAATCATTGATCAGTTTATTCAGCAGAAACACTGATCGCTCTTAACTGGGTCGATATCTTTTTATTTTAAATATAGTATTTTATCTATTTTTATTTCAGTCACATTATTGTTCACCCATTTATTTTAAAGACACTTTTATTCATTAATTTTAATCAAATTGTATTCATTTATTTTAATTTAATTTAATATTTTTTAATTATTAAAAAATGTATTTAATTTTATATTTATCTACTTTTATTCGTTCTAATCACATTTCTATTAATTCATTTTATTAAAATTGTAAATTTATTTTAGTCATTTTTATTTACTTTAAATATTTTTATATATTTTATCTTTTTATCTAAAAATATTATTTGATCTATTTTTATTTCAGTCACATTATTGTTCACCCATTTATTTAAAACACACTTTTAATCATTTAATAAATTTTAATCAAATTGTATTCATTTATTTTAATTTAATAATTCAGTTTTTCCTCTAAACCTTTCCCCAGTTTGAGAGCCCCTGTGTCGTCTTCATCACACTGAGCTGAAGACTTGTTATTAATGTGTAAAGAAGCATGTTTCTATGTTAACGAGCTCATGTTTTGTCACACAGAACATAATCGGCGTGTATTTCTCGGCAGGTTTGTGTTGAGGATGGAGTCGGCTGTGGAGGTGCAGAGAGGCGCTGCTGCTATTAAAGAGCAGTATGTTTGTATTCTGATCAACTCCTGATAATCCATATTTACAGAGCCTCGTGGCTGATGTGTGTGTGTGTCTGCGTCTCGCCAGGTTCCTCACCACTAAAGAGAAGTTCCACGAGTTTCTAGCGTCGGGCCGGCCGCGTCAGAGCACAGATGAAGCAGACGGAGACTCGGAGGAACCCTCGGGGGAACCGGAGCAGAAGAGAGTCAGACTGGACAGTGACGGAGATGAGAAGAAGAAGAAGAAGAAGAGAGGACAGAATAAATCCAGACCTCACGTCAAACCTCAGAGCTATGAAGACAGACGACTGTGTCCCTCCATCGTTCAGGTGCACAGCATGATCACACTCTTGCTTCTTTAAAATATACTTTGAGGTATAGTATGTGTTGTATAGATATATATATATATATATAAAATCATATTTTGTCTTACAGTATGTCTAAATAAAATGTTATATTTATTACAAGTGATATTTATATTATTTAATTTTTCTACTCGTAGTACTGTACTGTTTATGTTTTTATTTATTTTAATATATTTTTTATTTTAATCTCATTTTATTTAGTTTAAGTTTTGTGTAGACATTGATTTTATTTACACATTAAATGTCTGAATATTTGGGTGAAAAGTTACATTTATTTGTTTTCGTTAAATAGTTATTCATTTAGTTGCACAGTATGCGTCTTAATATTATTTGGAATTTTCTATTAAGTTTAATTTATTGTTACAGTTATTTATTTTCATCTATTTTTATTTACTGATTAGTTTAGTTACACAGTATATGCCTAAATATTCTTTGGGAAATATTTAGTTTATATTAAGTTACATTTATTTATTGTTATATTTATTTATTATTATCTGTAATTAAAATTATATTATCTTTTGTACTTTTAGATGTATTATTGACTTAATCATTTAATTATTAAAAATAGTAAAAATTTAATTTATTGATTTATTTAAATATTTGTTTAATAAAGTAAAAATACTTACACCATTATTTTTTTTTATAATAAAAAATGAAAAAAGAGCAAACTATATATATATGTATTTGTATTTATATGTGTGTGTGTGTGTGTATATATATATATATATATGTTAAAAAAGATGAATAAATACTGTAACAAATGTATTAATGCAGTGTTTTCTCCTCTCTTAATTCTTCTTTTCTCCGTGTATTTCTTCTTTTATTGTTTAAGGTGCTGGTCTTTGTTCACTCAATTGTGTTTGTTGGTTAAAACATTAATAAAATAGATGCGATAAGACCCCAGTTCCCTCGATGCTGACTTGCATTCATCAGAAGCGTGTGTGTGTTCCAGGAGCGAGACACGAAGTGCTTCTACGGTGAGAAGTGCCGCTTCCTCCACGACGTGAGCGAGTACATGTCCACTAAAGCGGCGGATCTGAGCGATCAGTGCTACCTGTTCAACAGCTTCGGCTGGTGTCAGTACGGCGTCACCTGCAGGTTCGCTAAAGCGCACACGAGCCCCGAGCTGAAGAACCTGAGGAACCAGGATTTCTGCAGACGCTCTGCAGTCACCGTCAGAAACCTGCTGGACAAAGAGCTGCAGAGACGCCTGCGGAAGAAGCAGGAGAGGTTCCCCGGAGCCGAGGCGTACCTGAAGACCGTCAGCCGTGGAGAGAAACCTGCATCGAACCAGGAGGAGAATCTGAGCGGAGCCGGACACACACAGGTACAACATCACTGATCCATCCTCAACATCAGCATCCAAACACACTCTATTCTTACTCACATTGATGCAGACCTGACGCCTTTTGACCTCAAAGTACACTGGTACGATTTTTCACTCTAAACTACGCAAGAAACCTGGTGACGCCTCTGTCCACGTGCAGTATTCAAAGCAAGCAACAGAAAAAGATGAAGAGTTTAACCAATCAGAGCGCTGAGATGCGGAAACGCCGAGCATCTTCCCTTGTAATGACTAAACCTGTTGTCCAGCAACAAAAAAGAACATTATAGCATTCTTTTACTGCACAACATCAGACAAATATTTAAAATAATTTCCCTCTGCATCTGTTGTGGCTTCTTATCACAGAATGATGCAGAAATAAATTCTACACTGGAATAACGGCTAAGTCGATTAGCAGTGGATTATAAATATAACGTTACTTAATTAAAATTAGAGCCCGACCGATATATCGTTTAGCCGATATTATCTGCCGATATGAGCCTGTCGCCGATATATCGGTATTGGCGAATATGCCGCCGATATGACTTTTTTTTTTTTACAGAACATATAACGCCGATAAAATGCTTGAAATGGTGTAATTACTTAGTTTGTCCAGCAGAGCGCGCTCCATTGTTTGCTACTGGCGACCTGGATGAAACGCTTTAAAGCTTAAGTCTATGGAAAACCATTGAAATTTTGAACGGCCATATCTTCGTAACGGCGCGGCGGATCTCCACCAAGATCCCTTCAGCTCGAGGAACCCTCTCGAACGCGAATCGAGTGTACGTCTCGAGGCCCTCTTTTGAATGAGACCACCCTGGCGTGGAAAGCCCCCGGCGTTCGGGAGTTACGGGTGGTTAGATTCGCGGTCGTTAATTAACCTTATGTTTATGCTTTTTGCTCATGATTGCTGCAGTTGGAAGGCTGTTTTCCAGACACCATGACCCGATGTGCCGAGCTGCTCAATCTAAACATCGATGTGGATTTTGTGGATATAAACTCCGGCTGCCCCATCGACCTCGTTTACAAGAAGGTGATCTGCAGAAAACGAGGCTGCGAGGCCATTTAGCTGCTTTTTGAGATTCCTTTAGGGCTTTAAAGTCTATAAAGGGTTGTATTATTTACTCTGCTGCAGTAGAGGTTTTGTGTTTTTACATCACTCTTTAGTGTTGATTTTTGGCAAATCAGTGGAGGTCAATTTTGCCCATTTTTACCAATTTTGTATGACTATTTAAGCAGCGATTGACTGATTTCTGTGTCTTCAGGGTGGCGGGTGTGGCCTCATGACACGAACCAGCAAATTTGAACAGATCGTGAGGGGAATGAACTCTGTAAGTGACTTCTCAGTGTTGAAGCGTGTGAAGTAGGGCTGGGTTTTGACACAAGTTTGACAAAGTTACAATTACATAATATTTCTACTTCAATTCGTGTTTTTAAATATAAACATAATGGTGGCTGTCATAAAAACTTGATGGATTTATTCAAACAAATTAAACATTGAAGAACAGTAAAATTTATAATGAATATGTTATATGGTGCATATATTTAGCAAAATGTTAAATATATGCACAGTTTATTTTTCTATCTGACTAATGAGTTTATGGTCACCGAGTATGTTTTTCTGAGGTAAATGTGACGTTACATTGTTTACAAGCCGTTATATTGAGGTCTTTGCGCGGCTGAAACACTGATTGAGCGATTACATGAGACAGGGTACGGATTGTAAAGTTGTACTCTTTCTTTTAACTTCCCTTCGGATGTTTAGTCATGTTTATTTTGTGCTATAACTAGTAATAAAGCGGAGGAGATGATCATTTCACTGAGGTGTTACGGCGATCACTCCACATTAAACCGCGCCAAAAAGGCATTTATTGTTTGAATTCTGCAATACAATGAACAGAATCTGAAATCTGAGACTTTGTTGCAGATTAAAAGCATCGAAGTACAATGCTTACTGCGATTTTTCTGAGGTAAATGTGACGTTACATTGTTTACAAGCCGTTATATTGACGTCTTTGCGCGGCTGAAACACTGATTGAGCGATTACATGAGACAGGGTACGGATTGTAAAGTTGTACTCTTTCTTTTAACTTCCCTTCGGATGTTTAGTCATGTTTATTTTGTGCTATAACTAGTAATAAAGCGGAGGAGATGATCATTTCACTGAGGTGTTACGGCGATCACTTCACATTAAACCGCGCCAAAAAGGCATTTATTGTTTGAATTCTGCAATACAATGAACAGAATCTGAAATCTGAGACTTTGTTGCAGATTAAAAGCATCGAAGCACAATGCTTACTGCGATTTATTGGATGGGAGGTGCGCTTCAATGTTCCGTCCATTCACTGAAAACAGGCTAAACTAATCGATTCCTGGGATTTAAGAATCAATATTGTTCCATTAAAATCAAGATATCGATATTTTTTACCCAGCCCTAGTGTGAAGTGTCACTCACGGCGCCGTCGTGTCGTATCCGCAGGTGCTAGACGTTCCTCTGACGGTTAAGATCCGTACCGGAGTCCAGCAGAACTGCAGCATCGCACACAAGCTGATCCCAGAGATGAAGAAGTGGGGCGTCTCGCTCATCACGGTACGATGAGTTCAGTCCGGTCAACGAGCAGCTCGTACAAACGTGATACCTGTAGGTTCTGTAGGTTTGATGGAGATAAATTTACTTGGTCTTAAAGAAGATTTAAGGAATAAATTGAAGGGGACACAATATACGTCATTATAGTCACTAAATGTAAATGTCTTCTATTAGCAACACTTCAAAGTTTGAAAGTGTCAGTTACTTTTTTTTTCTAGTTAATTTTACAAAAAAATACTGAAATATCTTTTACTGAACTACAAAAACGGATGCTTTACTCAGTATTTCTGTCTTGTTTTCCAGTGCAAATGTCTAGAAATTTAAATCAAAATACATTTACTTGACAAGCAAAAGGACACAAGAAGTCTTTTTTTTTTTTTAAACGCAATTCTAAATTTATATCTCACAATTCCCTTTTTTTATCTCGCAATTCTCATTTTTCTCACAATTCTGAGTTTGCGCAATTCCTATTTTTTCTCGCAATTCTAAATTTTCCTCAATTTTTATTTTTCTCGCAATTCTGAGTTTGCGCAATTCCCATTGCTTTCTCACAATTCTGATTTACGTCTCACAATTTTGACTTTATATCTCGCGGGTTTGAATTTATATCTCTCGAGTTTGTTGCGCAATTCCCTTTTTTTATCTCGCAATTCTATTTTTTTTTATCTTGCAATCCCCGTTTTTTTATCTCGCAATTCTATTTTTTTTTATCTTGCAATTCCCGTTTTTTTATCTCGCAATTCTTACTTTCTCTTGCAATTCTAAGCTTATATCTCGCAGTTCTGACTTTTTTCTTACACTTGTGAGTTCATCTCACAATTACGATTTTTTTCCTCTCAGAATTGTACTGGAAAACACGGTACAAATATTTAGGAAGCTATTGATTTTTTGCGACATTTAATACCATGACTTAATGAATTTAAGACTTTCTGTTCTGATTCAAGACCTTTCAAGGCCTTAATTTGTGAAAATGCAAATTAAGACCCGCAGAAACTGTTGTCATCGTTGATCGTGACGCTTCATTGAGTCTGTTTGTTTCTGCAGTTGCACGGCAGATCACGCGAACAGCGTTACACGAAGTCGGCTGACTGGGAATACATCGACACCTGCTCAAAACTGGCCGCTCCCGTACCACTGTTCGGTAAATACACTGACGCAGGCAGATGCAGCAGATATTCCACTGCAGAACACGTGACAGTGCTGCTGTGTTTCGTGCAGGTAACGGAGATATCCTGTCGTATGAAGACGCCATGAAGGCCAGAGAGACTGGAGTGTCTGGGATCATGGTGGCCAGGTCAGTCTGACAGCATCATCATCATCATCATCTTCATGTGTGGCAGCTCTGAATGAACTACTTCCTGTTTGTAGGGGTGCGCTGATCAAGCCGTGGCTCTTCACTGAGATCAAGGAGAACAGACACTGGGACATTTCCTCCGGGGAGCGTCTGGACATCCTGCGCGACTTCACCAACTACGGCCTCGAGCACTGGGGCTCCGACACGCAGGGCGTCGAGAAGACGCGCAGCTTCCTGTTGGAGTGGCTCTCCTTCCTGTGCAGGTGATGAGTTTAACAGGGATAGTTCACACAGAAATGGATATTCTCTGATCATTTACTCGCCCTCGTGACGTTCAAACCTAACTATGACGTCCCCTTCCAGATTTTCCTATAGGGTTTTATAAAAAAAAAGCCTGTGGTAAACATAACTTGATGATACTTTGACGTTCTGTTCTACAATGTGAACTGCGCACACTCACAGCCCAAACGTTCTTATCTAGTTATTAAAAACATAGTTTTCAAAAATGAATAACTGGTTCAAAAGTCGTGTTTTAGGTAAGGATGCGTGTAATTTACGTTGTAGAACAAAATGTGAAAGTATGGTCAAGTTATGTTTACCACAGGCGTTATTTTACTCATTAATTGGAAAACCCCATTATAAAACCGCATAGGAAAATCTCGAAGGAACCCGCGGCGAATTACTCTCCCCGGATTCGGACGTCACAGCTCCCCCGCTCTATTCAAACTCTTTTATTCGCCAGTTTTGACTCTTTTTCTCGTGATTTTAAATTTATATATCACAATTCCGATTTTTCATCTCAGAATTTCGAGTGTATATCTCGCAATTCTAATGTTTTTCTAACATTTTATTTATTTTTTTTAAATCTCACAATTCTGAATTTCTTTCTCACCGTTCTGACATTTTTCTCCAAGAGTTTGGAACAACATGAGCGCGAGTTAATGAATTTAACGACATTCGTTTTTGAATTTTGAACTACGTAACATGATCTAACAATGAAAAATATTTGTAAAGCATTACGTGGCGCAATAAAATGAACAGTGTAAGTAACAAAAGCTTGTACAGTATATTTTAATGGGCGTAATTAAGTGTGAAAATGGAAAGGAAATATCTGTTTGCTAAATCAACCAAGTCAACTAACATACTGTACTCAGCATTTTTAAAAATGACAAATGGCATGAAAATACAGGTATCGGTACTCTGTATCGGCTAGCACCAAAAATAAAAGTATCAGTATCGGCTTCATTTTGAAAAGTGTGGTCTCAGTGCATCCCTAATCATTTCATTAAGATAAAGTCAGACCATTCTTATTTTGCTTCAGTTACATCTAATTTAAATCAGAAACTGCTCATGTATGCATCATCTTTGTTTGGATCGTGATTAAAATGCAGTGGTTGCCTCCTGGTAGAGAGCGTTTGGCCTGTAAAAGAGCACAAAACATCTTGTTCATGCACTCAAATTTTCATTCCGTCTTATCTCTCGCTTTTAAAAAAAATGAAATTAATATTAACTAATTGGTATCGGAATCGGCCCATTTGCATGAAAAACACAAAAACAATGGAATAATAATAGATTATTGTCAGAAGTAGGCCATTAGTACTTCTGTACCAAGTTGATACTGAAATTGTAAAAAAAGTACATCAGTACTCGGTGATCGGCGCTGCTTTCAAACGCTTCTGTGCAGATTTATATCGCTTTCTGTGAACAGTGATATGCAGTGGCCAATCAGAGGTGTTCAAGTCAGAATCCACTAATTTTTCACTTGACCCGTTTAATTGAATAATATTTAGGGATGCACGATATTATCAAACCGATATCGGAATCAGCCGATAATGGCTTTAAATGTAAATATCGGTATCGGCCCGATATGAAAAATTATGCCGATATGTCTTGCCGATAAGAGGAATAGGTTAACTCACATGTGCTCAGGGCGTGCTAGCGATTAGATGATTACATTCAGTGTTGTGGATCCTGCATTTAATCTGAGAATGCAGTACAGAATGTGTTCGGTGTGTGATAGAGTAAACGGTAATAGCACCCGCAGCAGCAGTCTCCCCCGGGTCCTAAAGCCTGTCCGGGAAGGAGGTTTAATTCTGTAGGGGGCGCTGTTGGTCTACTTCTAATAAAGTGAAAGTAAAATACACAAATAACATTTAGACTGTTTCTCTGATTAAATAAAGCAGTACTTGATGTCATAAAATCATGAGTATGTTTTGATTTAAAGGTCAGAAGCTATAGCTTACATAAAAATTTTATATATACTGATTTATTCATTATTGTGTAATATGTTATATTTTTTAAACAAATTATGAGCTCTAAATGATTTTTACAACTCTTTTGCTTTAGACCATTAAAACATGTTAAATCTTAAAATAAAATGTTAAGGTTACCGCTGCATCTTTCTGAAAAAAAAAATAATAATAAATGCAGCGATTGTTTAATCACCCGCTGAATCTGAAGAGATCATGTGCTCTAGTGAAAAACACATTGACATGGCATTTTGTACATTAGCATCATACAATAAGTGCACAACAAGAGCGCTTTAATTGTGCCAGTGTTTATTAATGATCAGTTTTTTCATGCAGATTACACAATAACAATCACACATTCATAGTCGCCTCACAGAATGTAATGCTTTTATTAAATAAATGCGAAATGTTCTGTGATACAAACCCTCGGGCTGCACCAATCACAGCTGCTGGTGATCAGGTGGGCGGGGCTACTGTCGGAGGAGGCGGGGTTTGTCACTGTTCCATTCGCACACAGACACAGACACACACACAAATGCAGGACTACAGACACACACACACAACACACACACACACAAATACAGGACTACAGACACACACACACACACACAAATACAGGACTACAGACACACACACACACACACAAATACAGACAGGCCCGCAGACACACACACACACAAATACAGGACTACAGACACACACACACACACACAAATACAGGACTACAGACACACACACACACAAATGCAGGACTGCAGACATACAAACTTGAAATTGACCTCTTGTTGACCTCTGACCTGTGATTTTAGGCAGTGAAAAGATGTTTGTAAATGTATGGAAGTCTGTTTCTGCCATGGAAAAAAAAGGAACATATTTTTGTCACAATTCAGAGAAAAAGTCAGAATTGTGCAATAAAAAAAATGGCAATTTTTATTTTTTAATCTGAGGCAGAAACACAAAAATACACATGTGAGAGATAAACTCAGAAAATCAAAGGAAAAAGTCTGAATGGCTAGATATCAACAAGTCCAACTTGTCTTCCATAGTAAATGATCTAAAAATCATGGCGTTTCTTTTAGGTTGTTTTGCATCAAAAGTCTAGAAGAATAAAACCTTCGGCATTTCCTACTGTGTGAGAGCACCGCGTTTGTTATTCCTCATCATCTATGGTTTAATAAAATAAGCATGACATCACATCCTGTTGCTGCAGGCCCCAAAATAATTACTTTCATTATATTAAAGTACGAGCTTCAGCAGCCACCAATACTTCTGGAGGCTCTTCGAGACATTTTCTGTCTTCTGCAGTGATTTCTAACATACACCGATCAATCACATGACATTTACAAGTCAAAGAAACCTGTCTGAACTGCCATCGAGATGCACGGGAACATCCAGGACGGGTTACGAGTTAGTGTCAGCATCATCACCTCTGACCTCTGACCCCTGGTCTCTCATGTAAGGCACAAATCAACGCAAACACGTTATATCTCATTAATGCAGTCCAACACACGAGCAGCTCAATAATGTCAGTCTGATGTGATGCGGTGGAGATTTGACAGATTCACTGGAGAACGAGATGCTCCTCTCAATGAAAACACAAACATTACTGTTGCATAGAGTCAGTGGTACACAAACACACCTCGAGCTCAGTGGTGCAACAACTGCATTATGTTGATCCTGTTTAGAACAGATACAAGCGTACTATTCATACTACTACTGCAATATGTTTACTGGACACAGTATGTGAATTATTCGTATGCATGAAGTACCACCAATACGGAATCCCACAATGCAATGCACTTGACCTTTAAAGACAAAACTTGTCTTGAATCCCCAAGAAGTCTAATGGAAAATCATATTAGTTGAGGGAACAAAAATAGTGTTCAAATGGCAAAATAGAGGTTTTAATTGAAAGATACTTGGATGCCAAATGCTGAATTACACATGCACCATAATGAGATCACATGTTTCCTATATGCAGTATATAGTGTGCATGCTAATCTTCTGTTAGTCATTGGGCTTATTTTCTGAAATAATTCAAAAGCCAATGGAATAATGTTGGGAATAATAAAGGGAACCAAAAATGCAAAAAAATGTATTTATTTAGAAGTTAACTGGAGGCCACCCACTGAATTAAACATCCTACATAATGATATGAAGTGTTTGCTACATGTGTCCCTGCAGCACAAAAGCAGTGTTAAGTCGCTGGGGGATATTTGTAGCAATAGCCAACAATACATTGTATGTGTCACAATTATACATTTCTCTTTTATGCCAAAAATCATTAGGATATTAAGTAAAGATCATGTTCCATGAAGATATTTTGTAAATGTCCTTCCGTAAATATATCAGAACTTAATGTTTGATTAGTAATATGCATTGCTAAGATCTTCATTTGAACAACTTTAAAGATGATTTTCTCAATATTTAGATTTTTTTGCACCCTCAGATTCCAGATTTTCAAATATTGTCCGATCCTAACAAACCATACATCAATGGAAAGATTATTTATTCAGCTTTCAGCTGATGCATAAATCTCAATTTCCAAAAATTGACCCTTGTGACGGGTTTTGTGCTCCGGGGTCACAGTATATACTATGCAGTAATCAGTATGCTAGTATTCAATTCGCGTGTCAGTCGTGTCTCGGGGTCAGAGGTCAGTAGTTGTGTTTGGCGTGCGAGGGCAGGTGTAGGGTTTTGGGGGGTATGTTTGTGGGTTTGGGCGGGATCTGTGGTTTGAGTGACTCTGTGCGTCTGATGATAGCCTCGCGCTGGAGGTGTGGCGGCTCACTGTAGCTGTGCTGTCGCGTCAGACACGAGCCGCCCGCGATTAACGGCCTGTGTATCTCGTAGATGTTTCCCGCGTGCGCTGACTTCTGGTTGAAACTGTGCTGGCGGGCGGTCGTGACGCCGGTGCCCATCTTTATAAGCACGTGTCGTGGAATCTGCTGAAACGCTGAGGTTTCGGCCGTCTGTTTTAGGCAGCTGTAATATGATGTTAGCATGTGCAACGACCCG